TAAGAAAATAAAAATAAAAAAATCTTAATAATATTTTTTTATTATCTTTGAATATCTATATTTATAAAAAGATGTAATAATAAATACAAAACTAAAATTATTTATATAAATACTATAAAAAATTTATATATAAATTTATATATATATAAATGTGTAAAAATAGATTTATTACATTATAAATACACACATCATGAATTTATTACATACATGAATTTTTATTACATCTTTAGACCTTACATTAACTATTATATAGTAATTTAGCCAATAATGACCTACTTTTTTTGTCCATTTAACAATATCTGAAAAGTTCTCAATCTCTTTTATGATATTATAAACAATATCTGGCCATAGTGTCATCATCTATTGATTTTTCTCCTTATCATTATCCATATCATTTAAGTTACGGATTTAAACATTTATGTTATATTCGAAGAATATATATCATAATACAATATGCTGAAGTTTTAAAAAATTTTTAAAAATATGATACATATTATGAGCAATAATGACGATTCAATATGTCATGAATAAAATTGTTACAAATTACAAATTAAAAAACAATAAAATAAAAGTTTCCTTTGTCAAATTTATATTTTTTATATCAAACCTATTGTATTAAACACGTATTCATATTTTGTTAATTTCTTTAGAGGGTAAGATGAAAAAGAAGATACAAAAAGAGAATTGAAAAGAGATCTATTCTTTGCTTAGTCATTGTTAGATTTACTGCTTAGATACATATGTACATATCTGATAAAATAACAATATATATGTATGATCGTTTTATAACCAACAAAGCAATCTACATTGCTAATCCATATGATTGTCATGTAAATTTCAAAAGATGTGTTTAAAAACGATAAATTATCATTTTGTATGTTTTTCTTCATTAAAAAAAATCGTATAAATAGAATGCACAGACTACTATATAAATTTTTGATCGGAAAAAAATAATGAAAGTTAGCCGAAATGCTCGTGGTTCGAGGTTCGGTTCGATGATCTGAACACTCTAAGGTTTATCATTAAAATAAGCATTTATCTATTCAGAAATGACAAAAAGATATACATAAATGGCTTTACTTGCATTCTGCCATGTATATGTAACTGTTACATTGTGATGTTTTGAAGCTTTTGGTTCTTCTCTTGCTTTCTTTCCAATTGTAAGTTCTGTTCTAATTAAATCAGACTGGGCTTAAATGAATCGTGTATTCATTTTATTAGAAACTTTTAACAGTAACATTAACATATTACACATTTAATTACATAAATTTTTATGAAAATTGCCTGCACATTATAATCTGTTCTTCTAATTAAAATTGATATCTTTGTCCACAAAATAAATTTTTGATAACAAAAAGACATAAATAATTTAAGAAGTGATAATATAAAATGCTTTAGAAATTTTTTTATTTAGATATTTTCCCATATATAAAATTTTGTAAAAGATTTTTTAATGTACTTTACTCTGAAATAACCTTTTAATTCATTCTCTTGCAATGGCAGAATATTTTTTGTTCCATCTTACATTATAATTTCTTTTGTCAATATATGGTTGTTTATGACACTCTTTTATAAAACTTATTTAACATATAAAAAAAAATATTGTCTGGAAGTCCGGACGACATCTGCTTTATGTGCATATTTATTAGATTATATGTTTTTTCTTCGTATCTGAAATAAGCGTCCTGCAAATTTAAGTCATTGAATAGTTGTTTTACGCGTTGTACTTTCTCTCGATCAAAATCTCCGTAACACTCCTATGTAACAAAAAAAGAAAGAATTAATATAACAGCGTTCGATAGAGCAACACATTTAACAAACGATACTCACTTCTAATATTTTACGCTGCTGTGGAGTAACGCGTTGAAGCGCTTCAACAATAAGCCATGTACATTTTCCTTCCTGGATATCAGTATTATCTTTGCCACAGACTTCAAAGTCTCCATAACAATCCAAATAATCGTCCTGAATTTGAAACAAACATCCTATTTCAGTTAAGATAGTTGTTGCTTCCCTGAACATCTCTTGATTTTTTATTCCAGCCTACAAGTAACACATCATTATTTATCAATTATTATCAAGCGAATCAATTTTCGTGTATAATATGTATATAATTACAGTATTTATGTATATAATTACAGTACACTTACTAAATGCATTGCTACAATTACTGGTAAATAAGTTGTATAATACGCTGTTTTGAATTTGATAATGGAATTATATTGATTCGTCGTAAACAAATCCAGATTTGGTTTGTTACCAAAATTAGAAGAAAGTAAATCTAAACTTTGGCCCATTGCTACCTTCATTGTGACCTGTATCGAAATATACTTTCATATATAATTGCTCGATTGAAAAGGAAAAGGGAAGAATTTAGATAATGAACATATGATCGAAAAAAAGAATGATATTCTTATTCACATCCTGAAATGTTTCTAGTAGATGAACATAACAATCTTTTCCTTTGAAGTGTTTTCGAATTAAACAAAATATGGAGCACTGTAACATAAAAGAGTCGTTGATTGCTGCTAAACCGAGATCATTGTATCGGTACCAACATGGTTGACCTCGGCGAAATAACGATTGGTCTTCTATATCATCCATTATGGACAAATAAGCTTGCATCTGTATAGGTAAATGTTACCATTTAACTCATGATCATACTTAATAATTAAAATGATTATTATACACTATACTCTCTTGTATAGTCTCTTTGATTTGAAGATATTACAATTAAAATCTTAGGTATATCTTGCATTTGATTCATTTAGTGCCGGTTGTTTCTACCTTTTGATAAATTTTACCTATTGAATAAGTAACAAGATTACCCAATTACATGCCTGGATTGTCAGATTTACCTTATAGGTAAAATTTATCAAAAGGTCCTTATAGTTTATCAAAAATATCGATATCAAGAAAAGAATAACGAATTACGTACCAATTCCATGCACCATGCTACAATCTGGGCTAGACGAATGTTTTCTTCTGTCAGTTGATCACTTGATACTAATAACTTGTAGGCATGAACTAGGCTTAAACCGCGATTTTTCTTTCCTTGTGGAACATTGTATTGTAATATCTACATAAAGAAACATCAATATACGTATTTGTTCAACTCTGATGTTTAATGTTTCATGTCTCGTTTTATTATTATAGTTTTTGAATTATTAAAATATTTGAATTTAAAATACTTGACGTCTTTTTTATTTTCTACAAAATCTGGAACTGATTCTATTTATTTAAACAGTTTTCCTTAAGATATTTTTAAACTTCGATGATGTTTTATTTTTCTAAATTTATACACTATTTGAAAAAAAGAAAGAGAAAAAGTAAATTCTTATTTAAAATTTTTATATTCATGATTATTAATTTTGTCATAATGGCATTGCATTATATTGTATTTTTTATAATCATGCTAAAAAAATTTATTCTGAATTAATCAGTCCTTCAAATAAGTTTTGATCACGTCATCTGTTACATCCTACTTGGCTATTATTTAGCTTGTAATTAATAACATAGGCCGATAAAATTTAGGGGGAGCCTTGTGCTTTGAACTTTAAAAGATGTTTTCGTAGGATTTTAGTGCGCTGAAAGCGACTACATTGTCTGTTTTTTTTTTCCATTACCTTCCATTTTTTAAATAATCGCGAAAACAGTTTTTTCTGGCTAAACAAAAATGATATCGAGGTCTGTTTTGCGGCATTTAACTTATAAATGTTTTGCGGCATTTAACTTATAAATCTACTAAATATTTTTTCTATAAAATATTTTTTCGATGCTTATAAAAATGTTTTATGCAAACCGCAAACAAAAATATTTTGGAAAAATCGTAAAGAACCGGAATAAATTGACAAATTTTGAAATATAAAACCAAATAATTCGAAAGAAAACAATTGTAAAAAATATCTGACAGTTTATACTTGTAGCTGTATGTTTTTCTAGTTTAAATCCTTTTTTGAAAAACTAATTTCCGATCATTTAAAGTGCCAAAGCAGCTCGATCAGGCTAATGCATCCGTTCGATGCATAAAAGATTTTTATAAGCATCGAAAAAATATTTTTTGTATTGTTGGAATATTTCTAAGTTAAATACTGCAAAATAGACCTCGATATCATTTTTTGTTTAGCCAGCAAAAATTAATAAAAAAGTTACTTTCGGAAAAAATTGTTTTTGCGATTATTTAACAAATTGAGAGTGATGGAAAAAAACGGACAATATAGTCGTTTTCAGCACATCAAAATTCTACCAAATATCTTTCAAAGTTCATAAGACCCCCCCCCCTCCCTCTACCCTAAATTTTGTTGGCTTGTGTAATTACTTACTTTTTCCATCCATTTTGCAACATCTGGAATGTTAAAATTTTCAATCACTTCTTTGATATCACGAATAACATCCGGCCACACTGCCATTAATTGCTGACTTTCTTCCTTGCTTGTTATTCGTACGGTTGGAGTCACGAAATGAGCCATTATGTTACAATTGAACGTTCTAAGGTTTTAACAAACGTTAGTTTGACAAGGTATGACTAATAAGTAAATGCCGATTTCATCACGTCATGAATAAAATTGTAATGAGTTACAAGCCAAGAAGATGAAATAAAAATTTCTTATATATTTTGTATACCTTTTAAATGAAGCGCTTTGTATTTTATTAAATTTTGTTAATACCTTTAGAGGATAAGAAAGACCTTCCTTTAGATGGAAAAGAAAACATGAAAATAGTACTGAAGATAGATCTGTTCTTTGCTTGGTTATATATACTCGATATATTGAATAACAATACATATGTATGGTCTTTTTATGATCAACACAACGGTCTACATTAGTAATTCATATGACTGGCATCTAAATATCGAAAGATTTTAATTTAAATAACAAATTGTCGTTGCTGTTTTTTTATCTGAAAAAGTACATGTCGTATGTTGTTTTTTATCCGAAAGTATAAACAGAATGAAGAATATTTAATATTATTGCATAATTTTAATATTAGAATTTATCGTTAAAATACATGTTTTTATATTTATTTAGAAATGAAAAAGACAATATACATTACAGTATTACCTGCTACCATGTGTACGTAACATTTATATACATTGCAATTAATTTGTATAAAGGATTCATTCTTACAAATGTTGTTGACATTGTAATTCTTTATAATTAAAATTAATATATATCTTCATAACATATTTTTGTATAAAACAATTACATCATAAATAATTTTAGAAATAATATTATTAAATGTTTAAAAATTTGTTTATTGACTTTTATGAAGTGAAATATCTTTCTGAATATAAATCTTTATAAGAGATATTTTGATATTTTTCACAACAAAATAACATTTCAGTACTCTTGAATATAGGCAGAATACCTCTCTTTTCATCTTATTCTGTATTTTAAATTTAACGATAAAATATCAATGCATAATAAGTATTTATTAATATCAGTTTCTTTCTTCAATATACATATACAATTATTTCATGACACTCTGTGATAAATCTTTCTTAATAAATTCAAGAAAAGACTATGTGGAAGCCCGCATGATATCTGTTGTATATGTACATTTAGTAGATTATATGTTTCTTCTTCATATATGGAATAAGTGTTAGGCAAACCAAGATCAGTGAAAAGTTGTTTCACGCGTCTTACTCTCTCCGGATCTGGAGAGCCGTAACATTCCTGCGTAATAAGAAAAAGAATTAGTACAACAGCATTTCACGAAACAACGCACATTTAAATGAACGATACTCACTTCTAGAATTTTACGCTGCTCCGGAGTGGCACGTTGAAGAGCTACAACAATCAGCCATGTACATTTTCCCTCTTGTATATCAGTACAATCCTTGCCATGAACATCGCTGTAGCAACCTAAATAATCATCTTGGACTTGAAACAAATGCCCCATTTCTAACAAAATGGTTTTTGCTTGCCTGAACATCTCTGGATCTTTTATTCCAGCCTACGCAATACAGTATTATCATCAAAACAAATCAATCTTTTTATGTATTAGAAAATTGAGATGCACTTACTAACTGCATTGCTACGGTTATTGGCAAAATAAAAGAAAAGTGCGATGCTTTGTAATGACAAATGGAATTATATCGATTCATTGTAAATAGATCCAGATTGGGTTTCTTGCCAAAATTGGTAGAGAGCAAATCTAAACTTTGGCCCATTACTGTTTTCAATATACTCTGTTGAAATACTTTCATATATGTATAATTGTTCGATTAGAAAAGAAAAAAGTGGTTTACACAATGTGCGATTGGCAAGAACATATTTTTACTCACATCGTAGAACATTTCTAGTAGAATAACGTAACAATCTTTCTCTTTGAAATATTTTTTAATTAGATAAAATATAGAACATTCTAACAGTAAACTATCATTAATTGCCGCTAGGCCTATACCATTGTATCGATACCAACATGGTTTGCCTCGACGAAGTAACGATCGGTCTACTATATCGTCGGCTACGAGTCCAAAGGCTTGACACTATAGTAATAATTGTCTTAATATCATAAATCATAATTGTAACATTTAATATTTTTAATGAAGATCACTCATTATATGTACAATACACTGCCTTTAATTCAAAGGTAATATAAATTAAAATTTTAATTATAGCTTGCATTAAATTTATTCAAATTAAAATTCATGAAATATATATATTTATATATCGATGTCACAAAGAAAAGAAGAATAGAATTACCAATTCCAGACACCATGCTAGAATTCGAGCAAGACGAATGTTTTCTTTTGTAAGTTGATCACTTGGTGCTAGTACCTTATAGGCATAGACTAATGTTAAAGCGCGAACTTTTTTTCCTCCTGGAACAGTATACTGTAACACCTGCATAAAGAAACATCAATTTATATATTTTTTAAAGCTGAGATTTATTGTTTCATGTACCTATTTACAGGCTTTTTGAATTATTGGATTTACTCAAGGCTTTTTTTTATATTCTACAAAATCTAAAACATGCTATTTATTTAGATTTTTTTTAAGTTCAATTTACATTGTTATTTATTAAATTTTGACGATGATTTATTTTTATTTTATACACTATTTGCGAAAAAAAGAAAAAGAGAGAATTTTTATTAGAATTTTATATTTACGATTATATATATATATGAAATTTGATATTGCATTATTTTGCATTACTTCTACATATAATTATCTTAAAGAAATTTATCCTAAGATGAATCGT